AGCAAGACTCTGTCTCAAAAACAAAACAAAACACAAACAAACAAAAAACCCACAGAGGAAACAAGTGAGGTCAGTATATAAACAACAATTAAAAAAAAGAAAAAGTAAAACAAATGACATGCCAGGAGATAAGGAACAGTGGGAGTGAATAGCCAACATAGCTCAGGATTATCAATCAGTGTTAAAAGCCTCAACTCTCCAATCAAAAGAGACTCGCAGACTGAATCAAAAATCAGAATTCAACAATCTGTTGCATTAAGGAAACCTATCTAATCCATAAAAGATACTCATAAACTTCAAATTAAAGGATTGAAAGCAACATTTCATGCACCAGGACCCCAAAAACAAGCAGGGGTGGCAATTCTAATACCAGACATGGTAAACTTCAAGTCAAAATGGATCAGGAGCAACAGAGAAGGTCACCACATACGAGTTAAAGGAACAATCTAACCAGCGGAGATAACACTGATAAACATATATGCACCAAATACTGAAGCACATACCTTCATAAAACAAACACTACTGAAATTAAAAGATAAAATAAACATTAACATAATCATAGTGGGGTATTTTAACACCCCACTTTCTCAAAGAGACAGATCAACTAAACAAATAACTAATAAATCTCAGCACTGAACCACACCCTTGAACATATGGACTTAATAGAGATATACAGAGTATTCTACTCATCTACAACAGATTATACATTCTTTTTAGCAGCACATTGTACCTTCTACAAATAGCCACACACTAGTCCACAAAGCCTGCCTATGTAAATGTAAAAGTACCGAGATTACCTCATGCATACTACCTGACCACTGTGCAATGAAAATAGAAATCAATGACAGAAGAAAATTTGGAAAATGCAAAATCTCCTGGAAAATTCTCAACATATTCCTAAACAACCAATGGCTCACAGAAGAAATAAAAGAAGAAATTTTAAAACTTCTGGAAGTTAATGACCACAACTCTACAACTCAGCAAAACCTTTGGGACATTTTGAAAGCAGTTCTAAGAGGAAGATTCATTGCAATTAATGCACACATTAGGAAAACAGAGCAAGTCAAAATAAATAACCTAATGAGAAATCTCAAGATACTTGAAAAACAATAGCAAACCAGCCCCAAACCAAAAATAAGGAGAGAAATTATACAGATGAGAGTGGAAATTAATGCAATTTAGGCTTAAAAAAGTAAACAAATCAATGAAGCAAAAAGGTGGTTTTTTGAAAGAATAAAATAGATAAGCTCTTAGCAAGACCCAGCAAGAGAAAGAGAAAAGAATACGTAAATGCAATTAGAAATGACAAAGGTGAAATCACAGCACTGTCCAAATCCAAAAGACAGTAGCAACTTCAAAAAATTACAATCCAACAAATTAGCAATTTTTGAAGAAATGGGCAGATTCCTAGAAAAATACAAACTACCAAAACTAACCCAAGAAGACATAAGTATACTTAACAATCCAATTATAAGCAATGAAATTGAGTTAATAATAAAGAATATACCAACTAAAAAAAAGCCCAGGACCTGATGGATTAACACCTGAATTCTACAAAATCTTTAAGAACATTATATCACCAATACTCCTAAAACTGCTCAAAGAAATTAAAAACGATGAAGTGCTCCCAAAATCATTTATGGAAGCTACTATCACCCTGATCTCAAAACTGGATAAACATTCACCTAAAAAAGAAAAACTATAGGCCAACATCTTTAATGAATATAGATGCTAAAGTCCTCAACAAGATATTGGCAAATAGAATACACCATATTATCAAAAAACTGATACATGATGATCAAGTCAGTTTCATCCCACAGAGGCAAGGATGGTTCAATGTACATAAGTCAATAAATGCAATACATCATATAAACAGAAGCAAGGTCAAATACCACATGATCATATCAATAGATACAGAAGAGGGTTTCAACAAAATCCAACACCCCTTCATAATAAAAACCCTGAAGAAAACAGGCATAGAAGGACTATACCTGAGTATAATAAAAGCTATCTATGACAAGCAAATTGCCGGTATCCTAGTAAATGGGAAAAAACTAAAAGCATTCCTCCCAAAATCAGGAATAGGACAAGGATGTCCACCATCACCTCTGCTATTTATAATACTTGAAATATTACCAAGAGCAATTAGGCAAGAGAAAGATATAAAAGCGATATATATAGGAAAGGAAGAACTCAAATTATCATTATTTGCAAGTGATTTGATACTCTATATGGGAAACCCAAAGAACCCCACCAAGTAACTCTTAAAATTAATAACTAATCTCAACAAATTAGCAGGATACAAGACTAGTACACAAAAATCATTAGCATTTGTGTATACCAACAATGAACAGAATGAGAAAGAAATTATGAAAGCAATACAATTTGTAGTTGCTTCAAGAAAAATAAAATACTTAGGAATTAACCTAACCAAAGAAGTGAAAGATCTTCACAAAGAAAGCCACAGTCCTCTGAAGAAGGGGATTGAAGAGGACATCAAAAAATGAAAAGATGGCCCTTGCTCCTGGATAGGCAGAACCAACATAGTCAAAATGGCCATATTTACCAAATTGCTATACAGATTCAGTGCAATCCCAATCAAAATACCAACAGCATGCTTTTCAGTTCTAGAGAAAACAATCCCACATTTCATATGAAACCAGAAGAGATCCTGAGTAACAGAATTAATTTTGGGCAACAAGAGCAAAGCAGGTGGCACAGCAATATCAGACTTTAAACTACACTACAAAGCAATAGTGATAAAAGTGGAATGGTGATGGAATAAAATCACACATGGATCAATGGAACAGAACTGAGGGTACAGAAACTTCCCTAAACACATTCAGCCATTTGATCTTTGACAAAGGGTCCAAAAGCATATTGAAGGAAGAGTCTATTCAACATGTGATGCTGGGGAAACTGGTCATCTGCTTGTAGAAAAAGTGAAACTGGACTGTTATCTCTCACCAAACACTTAATTCGAATCAAAATGGATCAAAGGTCTGAACATTAAAACAGAAACATTAAATATCCTAGAAGACAAAATAGGTAAACTACTTGAAGATACAAAGAGTTGGAAAGGATTTTCTAAACAGAACCTCAATTATACAGGAAACAGCAGCAAGAATCAACAGATGGGATTGCATCAGACTAAGAAGCTTCTACACAGCAAAAGATTCACTGAGTAAAGAGACAACCTACAGAATGGGAAAAATATTTGCCAGCTACTCATCAGATAGAGGACTAATACCTAGAATATATAAAGAACTCAAAAAAGGTAAACATCTTAAAATTAAAGACCCAGTGAAGAAATGGCCTAGAGAAATGAACAGATACTTCACCAAAAAAAGAAATATAAATGGCCAACAAATATATGAAAAAATGTTCAAATATATGAAAAATGTTCATTTCTGACCATTAGAGAAATGCAAATTAAAATAACTCTAAGAGTCCATCTTACTTCAGAAAGAATGGCAGTCATGAGGAAATCAAACGCTGGCATGATCATGGTGAAAAAAGAATTCTCCTACATTGTTGGTGAGAATGCAAACAAGTACAGCCACTGTGGAAGTCAGTATAGAGATCTCTCAAAGAACTGAAATTAGAAATTCCATATGACCCGGCTATCTCCCTGCTAGGTAACTTCCCCAGAGAAGTGAAGACATCTCAGTACAGCAATATTTGCATGGCAATGTTTATAGCAGCACAATTCATAATAGGTAAATCCTAGAAGTGGCCTATATACCCATGAACAGATGACTGGATAAACAAAATGCAGTATCTATGCATAATGGAATACTGCTCAGCTGTGAAGAATGACAAATTTGAGGCATTTGTAGGCAAACAGATGCACCTGGAAAACACAATGTTGAGTGAAGTAAATCAGACACACAAGCTTGTATACTTCATTTGAGTGACGCAAAGTACAAACAAAGAAAATGAAAAAAAACAGGTAGAAAGGGACAAGCAGACAGATTTCACACAACAGGCAAATGGTACAAGAAAACAGAGGAGAAAGGGGAAAGGGCAAATGAGAATAAAGATATGCCATGTATAGGACCCTAATAACCCTACTCAGCATAAATATTACACACCATAGCATGTGCTAAGACATAGTATCAATAGGTATGAAAAAGGTGATTGGGGAATCAGAGGAGAGGGGGGCGGGGGGAGAAGAAGGAGATGAAAAATAAGCTGTAATATGTACATGTAACCATTCCCCAAGATGATTGTAAACTGCATGAATTACAACCAGGTACTAATAAAATAAGAAAATATGCTATATGTGTGTGTGTGTGTGTATAATGTATACAATGTGTTATGTGTGTATAATGTATACAATAGAAGCAGAAGCACAAAGCACCACATTGTTTCACTAGTGTAAAACTTAAAAGAGTTCATTTAAACTAGGAGGTATGATAGACATTACGAAATGATAGGAAAACACTCAAGGGTAAAGGGCAACTGGGATATGGGAAAAGAGAAGGGAAAGAAGGAGAAATTTTGTATGTATGTATATACAGGATAGTTAACATAGTTGTTCTACTCTCTTCTATTTCTTTGCTGAAAGAAACTGTCAATGAGTCCATGATTGATCAATATTGCATGTCTCTATCTGTTTTCATGAGAAACTACTTTGAAGATATCAATATGTAATACAACAAGCATTGTTAATTTCCTACCACTTTGTTTGTAACTCTGTATTGTCTGTACTGTTCTTTTGCTATTTTGTAAAAGGTTGTCTGTTAATGTTTTCGACCTTTTATTTTTAAAATAAAAAAGCAGAAGCACAGTAATACTTTTCTAATTTGTCTGTTGCATATGTGCTTAATGTCATCTAAAATCCAATGCTTAGAGCTACTAAGCAATTTCTTATATTCTGAAAAATTATGTAGACATCACTTTAAATGTCTCTGTCAAAGCCAATGGTGCCCACATTCTGTTTGCTAACACCAACGGAGCCAAGCAAAACTGCAAACATAGAATAAAATCGGGCCTACCTGAACCGGGTTTATACTGTCCAGGGATATAAGGAAAGTGAGCTCCAAGGAGATATCCATACTTCTGAAAAAGGCTTTCCCTGCATAATCGAAAGTCCTTCAAGTAATCCCATGAGAGCCGGTATCTGCTGCTGGATACTCTCTTAGAGGAAACACGCAAGAGAACACGAACAGGAGCAGTGATCGATATTCTTGATCAACATGATGTCACAATCTAATGAAAAATCTGGTGAAGGCTGTCATGAGCCAAACTTCACATTAAAAAAAAAATCACACACTACAGGTGTGGTGGCACAGGTCTGTAATCCCAGCATTTAGGAGGCTGAGGCGGGAGGATCACCATGAGTTTGAGGCCTGGGCTGCATAGTGACTTCAAAGCCAGCCTGAGTTGCATAGCAAGACCACCTCCAAAACACACACACACACACACACACACACAGCAAAAGCTTTGGTAGAAACCCAGCATGTCAAATTCAACTACATATTTCCCTGTTCAGGTACTTCCTTTGTCATTTGATATTTCCCTACTTTAGACAGGTCCTCGATGTCTCCAAATGAGGAGACACCTCATCCACAGGCTTCAGCTTCCCCGGGATTCCGGCACACTCCAAAGACTTGCAGCCCCTGATTGTGAGGGAGAGCTAGTCCTTCACGGCCCTACAGATGGGAGACCTAGAGCACGCCACAAATGTGATCCTAACATGCTGTCAAGCCCGGTTTGTTTTTCTGACTTTTGTTGATGTGTGTTTTAATATAGCACCATTTTTTCTTTACAGTTTTCCTACTCTGAAACTTCATGCACATGAAAACATGCAACTGTGCCAGACTTATCAAAAACGGCTGTGCCATTTCGCCTTCCCACTGGCACCATTCGGAGGTTCCACTCTCCATATCCCAGCCAAGACTGAAATCGTGTCTCCCTTTGATGATCGCTGTCCTAGTAGTAGCTTACCCCTGGTGTAAGTGGTGTTTCCCTATGGTTTTGACTTCCACCTCCCTGCTTCCTCATGACGTTAGGCATCTTTCATCTGCTTCCTGGTTATTTGCACGTCTTCTTCACAGAAATGCCTATGAATATCTTTGCTCATTTTAAAATTGTGTTGTTTTTGAGGGATTTTCTTCTTTACTTATTTAGTTGTACGAATTCTTAATATGCTCTGGACCCTTACCAGATAAATGATTTACAAATAATTTCTCTCATTCTTTTCACTTTTTGCTGCTGTCCTCTGATGCACAAACATTTTAGGGGTTAGGGGTGTAGTTCTGTGGTACAGCATGCGCCTAGCATGTGTTAGACTGTGGATTCAACCTGAAGGATCCAAACTGAAAGAACGCAATGTTTTTAGTTTTGATGCCATTTATTATTTATTACAAGTTATTATGTCTTTTATCACCTGTACCTTTGGTGTCATGTTTAAGAAATCATTCTGTAATTCAATCTCATGAAGATTTAGATCTATTTTACCTTTATGAATTTTATAATTTTACGTTTAATATTTATGCCTTTCATCCATTTTAGTTAATTTTTGTATGCAGTGTGAGGTTCTCCTCCAGCTTTATTATTCTGCATGTGGATAGCCAAGTGCACATGCACCATTAGTTGAAAAGACCTTTATTTGTGATGCTGGGGTTTGAACCCAGGGCCTTGCACATGCAAAGCAAGGACTCTACCACTGAGCCACCTCCCCAGCCCATGACCATTCTTTTGTACATTTCTCTTTGAACCTTTGGGCATCCTTGACAAAAACAATCTACCATACATAAGGACATATGTTTAATTTCTGAATTCTCAAATTATAGTCCATTGCTCTGTATGTCTGCCTCGTGCCAGAGTCACTGTGTAGATTTTTATGGCTTTGTAGTAAGTTTTGAAATGAGAGAGTGAGTTCTCTAATTTTTCATTTTTTTAAGATTATCTTGACTATTCTGCATCTCTGGGATATCTATATGAATTTTAGGGCTGGCTTTTCAATTTCTGTCCATAAAAACCTAAATACCTGAACTTCTGATAGAGATCATTTTGAAGCTCTCAATCAACTTGGCCTATTACCCCTATTTTAGCAATATTAAATATAGATCCAAAAACATAATATGTCTTTTTATCTATTTAGCTCTTCTTCAATTTTCTTAGGAAATATAAATCTTACACAGGAGTTAGATATAAGAGACTCTAAACACTTATAGAAAGGAAAACCTACCTAAAAACTTTCCAATTTCCATGCAGGCTGGTTGTTATTTCATGCACGTGTGTTCCTTCACGTTTCTTGTTTCTTTACAGCAAGTTCCCTGATTTAATCTGGCTAGAGTGGGTTTCTGCTCCTTGCAATCAAATGATCCTGGGCTGGGACACTATCCATCAAGATTAATATGACTTTTAAAAGTTCAGAAACTATAAAAAAAATCAGAGCAGTAGTAAAAGGCAGAGCTGAGATTTTTCATTAATACATGTTTGCTGTACAAAATGATTATATTTATCACGGGGAGCTGGTACATGTATGTACATAACACCTCTTAATTCTTTTTTCTTTTCATCCCCAGCCCCTCCCTACCCTCCCCACTCTCCCCAACTCTTGGTCCTTTTCCCATTTGCAAAAGATCCATTGTCACCATTTTTTCCTCTCAACTCTCTTTTTTATTCCTTTTCCCTCCCTTCCCTTCTCCCTCCCTCCATTGCTTATTCACCCATCCATTTGAAAAAGATCTCCCTACTTCCTATTCAGGTAATACATACAATATATTATATACTATATAGAGAGAGAATTTCTTGTATGAGTTTCTTATATAAGAAAAAGCTTAAGCGACATTTAAGCTTTTGACTTATTTAAGTGACTTATTTCACTTAATAGTATGGTCTCACATTGCATCCATTTACCTAGGAGTGCCTCACGTCTGTCTTTGTTTATGGCAGAGCTGCGATTTCAACTCAGGTCCAAGTATCTCCAACCCACGTTTTCCCCATTAATGCAGATTAGGAGTCCTTGCATGTCTGCCTTTAAGAGGTAGACCTACTAAGTAACTACATATCTATCAAATTGCACATCTAACTCCTTAAACAACTTATAAAAATCACATTTCTAATTTTATATATGGATCTCAAACCGACTTATCCTTTTCATTTAGCTGTAACTCTTACTAAATTTTTGCTTTCATGGGTTCTCTGTGTTAGTAGCTGAAGCCTTTATTCTTTGGAGTCTGAGCATTATGGGAGAAACTGCTCCTGTATTTTTGAATATTATGTTTCTATTAATATATCCTGGCATCATGTAGCTTTTAATAATAGCACAGTTCTTTAGTACCGCTCATCTTGCTCTAAAAAAATTACAGACGTTTGCAAACCAAAACTTTCTACCAATCAATATGACACTGTGGGGAAAAGTAAACCCTGCACAATTTCACCAGAGAGATCTTCTTCTCTCTTATTAACAGTGGGAAGTCTTTTCCAGTAACAAATAACTTTGAAGAGACAAAGACCAGAGAGGAGGGGCAGAAGCCTGAAATGGTGTATTTTTAGTCATTTTGATTAAATTATGGAGATATGAAGTTGATAATTTATTGAAGATGAACAGAGCAGTCTATGTAAATGTTTGCAGATGAATAATTAATGTGGCTTTCTGACATCACTAGGCCTTTAATTAAAGCCACTGTAAAACAAAGCAAGAACCCAAGAGCACAATTATTATTGCAGCTAATTGTAACTTTCCTCTCCTAAGTAACATTTGAGAGTTTATGCTTAATTTGCATCTTTAAAGAAAAATAGACCATACCTAGGGTGACAGTTCCTTTTTTTCCAACTACTTCCCTGCAAACCAAAAAACTTTATATAGAAGTGAATTTTCTCCTACTAAAATATTACCCAGGAAGTTTGGGGGTTTATTTGTTATTTTTTAAAAGTACTTTAACATTCATGTTAGCAATATACTTGTGCTTCTCAACAACTCAGGAGGTAAAATGAACACGGTGTTGTAATACTGATTCACTTACTGTCTCATCCCAGCTGCTAGTTACGTTCTTCATCTCTTTCATGTCTTTTTCCTTATTATCTCTTTTACTTTTTTATCTTATCGTTTCAGTTTTCATCTGTTTCTTTTTTGCTCATCTTTACTCTCCCTTTTCTGTCTCTTTCACTTCTATTTCTTGTCTTTGTCTTTCCTACACATTAATTTGGGGCCCAAAAGCCATCTGTATATCTCTAACTCCAAGAAGTTTACTAGGTATTTTCCTAAGGCTTTGGTGGTCAGAAATTCGTTTCTTCTTTTCATCAGAGGTTGCTTTTAGGGATCTGACATCACCTGAGGTAAGAATGGGACCCTACTACCAGCAAACAAATATATCAGACTGCAGGCTCCTTCATTGTAGGGTCTATGGTTTGTTCAACTCTGTCTCTTGTAACTAACTCAGTGTCTGGCCCAATAATAGTCCCAAAATAAGGCTTAACTGGAACTGAATATATGAATAATTTACCATGAGAAACAGAACATCCAAGGGTATTTATTCATTTTAGCTAATCAACATGATCTCTTCTGAGAGAGAAATCAAATTAAGCAGAAGATAACGTAGATGCAATCAGGAAAATGATCCAAAGAGAGTTTAAGGGACATTTTCAGAAAACTGGGGCACCCTGGTGAATTACTTCATGAGATACAGCATATGGCAGAAATATACTAGCCAATTTAAGGAGATTCATAAAGTTTATTTAAAAAAAATTAATACAGTTCCCAGAAAGATGAGGCAGTGAAAGCATAGTTTTCCCATATTTCCAAATCCCCCACACCAAGGAAGAAAAGCAACGAGATCACAAAGACAGATACATGAACAACATCCACTTAAAAAAATGTATAACAAGGCAGCTCCCTGCCCACTTCCCTCCCAGGTGCTGCAGGAGATGTGCTCCATCTGCCGTCAAACTGCACAATTCTTGAATAAAAGCAGGTGGGCCTACAAGGCAAAAAAAAAAAAAAAAAGTATGACAAGATATTTCTATAAGTCACCAAATATAAATGGGTAAAGGTAACCACCGACCACCACAGACTTGTCTGACACTGGCATCTGTTTCGTAGGAAGAAAAACTCATGCATCTTCTGGCGGATTTGAGAACAAAACACCTTTTAGGGGGTCCCACC